AGGTACTTGCAGGGGACCTCTACACTAGGGGACTCTGCTCCTTCAACTAAAGCTGATATAAAGATTTTGATTAAGGAAACTAGGGCTATGTTTCAAGAAGACATAGTAGTGTTTTGGGAATAGCCAAATAGCTGCAGTGGAGGAGGATCTGGGAAGTACAAGGGTGGCTCAGACAACTATGAACACAGCCCTTAGGTCCTTACAAAAATGTTGAGCTGACCCGACCAAGTGCATGTCCCAATGGAGAATAGCACTAAAGCCAGGAGTGTATAACTCAGGGGTGTCCCTAAGATGATCACCAACGATGAACTACCTCACTATATCACACAGCTACTTTCTATTCTGCTGTCACCAATGTGTGCCAAACTGATATTGCTTGATCATTGCGTTCGTCTTCTAGGGTTATAAAAAGCTGCTCCAGAGGTATCAAGAGCTGTGTTTATCAAGTTTGTGCGGGACTCTCAAAGGGAATCCTAATGGAGAGCATCTTCTGTAACCTTTGAAGGTTGCCAACTTACCCTTTACAGGGACCTATCGCGACATACCAACTGGTGGAGACAGTCACTCTGACAGATCACTCAACTGCATAGAAAGCATAAGATATCTTATAAGTGGGGCCCACACAGATTCCTTCTAGAAAAAAGCGGTAAGACTAGGGTTGCCACCTGACCGGTATTTTACTGGCACAGCGGTATTTGTGGCTCTGTTGCTGGTGCCGGTATTGCAGGAAAACCGGCAATGCAGGGGCCGGTATCTCTGTCTGCTGGAACTCTGAGACGCTCTCCCAGATCTGCAAGTATCTCTCCCCATGCTCCCTGAGACAGACAGAGTGGGGAGAAATACTCAGGCAGAGTAGGAGATACATAGTTGCAGATCTGGAAGATCCTCTCAGATAGATATTTAGCTCCGCCCCCTTCCTCCTGCTTTGTCTAATCACACTCAGTGAGGAGTGCTCCTCTGAGTGTGCTGTGGCTGCCTCCTCTCTGGCTTCCCAGCACTGAACTGGTTATCAGGCAGAGCAACTTTTTACAGCTCTGCAGTGTTCACCCCTGCCCAGGGCCGCCATCAGGGGGTGACAACCGTGACTATTGTCTCTGGCAGTCCCGGGCCCCACTTTCCCTTTCTGCACACATAGATAGCGAATATCGCTATCTATGTGTGCAGCCGCGGGCCCCCAGCAACCTGTTACCGCAGAGGGGGGACAGGCAGCACACAGCTTCTCCTCCTCTCTGCTCTCTCCTCTCTTCTAATAACTCTTGCGAGACCCGCGGAGCGTTGCCATGGTAACCGGGTCTCGCGAGAGTTATTAGAAGAGAGGAGGAGAAGCAGTGTGCTGCCTGGGCCCCCTCTGCAGTAACAGGGAGCCGGGGGGACCCCCAACCGGACCACCACAGATGGAATCTCCCCCCTCCCTGGACACAGGTAAGCAGGGAGGAGGGAGGCACATTTAATTACTTTAATAGAAAATTCATGTTAAAATGCCCCTTTCTCCCCCTCCCTCCCCCCAGATCACACATTTACACCCATACACCGCATACACTAACACAACACACACACTGCATACACTAACACAAAACACACACACACACACACACACTGCATACACTAACACAACACACACACACACTGCATACACTAACAACACACACTGCATACACTAACACAACACACTGCATACACTAACAACACACTGCATACACTAACACAACACACACACCACATACACTAACACAACACACACACACTGCATACACTAACACAACACACACACACACTGCATACACCAACACAACACACACACATTGCATACACTTACACAACACACACTCTGCATCTTCTACACTAACACACACTCTGCATCTGCTACACACGAACACACTCTCTGCATTCACTACACATTAACACACACTCTGCATTCACTGCACTAACACATACACTAAATTCATTACACTGACACACTCTGCATTCACTACACACTAACACACACTCTGCATTCATTACACACTAACACACACTCTGCATTCATTACACACTAACACACACTCTGCATTCATTACACACTAACACACACTCTGCATTCACTAAACTATGCGCACACTCTGGATTCACTATACTGACACACACTCTGCATTAACTGTACACACAGCATCCACTACACAAACATCCTGTATTCACAGTACACACACTACATCCACCACACATTGAAACACTGTACATTCACTATACACAGACACTGCGTCTAATACACACACTACATCCACTACAGACACTGCATCCACTAAACACATTTCATCTAGTACATACAAACACTACATCCACTCAGTGGCGGATCCAGAGCCTGATCTCGGGAGGGGCACTTGTAGATTATTTAAATAAATAATCCAGGCACAATAACCACTACAGCTCAGTGCAGTAGTTATGGTGTCAGTAGTGCCAGGATTCCACCCCAGAGTAAGTAGTCATACCGTTTAAGAACAGTTTGACAACTTACCTGGGGTCTGCTGGGATATAGGAGCAGTGGTGTGTGTTAAGGGTGAAGTGTGTGAGTGCGGCAGTATATGTCAGGGACAGTGTTTGTGGGGCAGTGTGTGTATGGGGACAGTGTTTGTGGGGCAGGGTGTGTATGGGGACAGTGTTTGTGGGGCAGTGCAGTGTGTGTAATGGGGGGCAGTGTGTGTAATGGGGGGCAGTGTGTGTATGGGGGGTGCAGTGTGTGCATGGGGGGCAGTGTGTGTAATGGGGGCAGTGTGTGTATGGGGGGGGAAGGAGGCTTTTAAATAATAATTTTTTTTTATTTTATAAAATAAATATTCTATGTCCCCCCTCCCTTCTTACCTTTATTTAGGAGGAGGGGGGACATATTTCGATCCCTGGTGGTCCCAGTGGTGATTCCCTAGTGGTCCCAGTGGTGGTGAGGTGAACTCTAGCCCACGCTCCCGGGCTAGAGTTCACTCTCGCGAGATTTGGAGCGTTGCCGTGGTAACCGCGGCAACACTCCAAATCTCACGAGAGGAGGACCCGGAGGAGCTGCAGACTGAGCTCCGGGTCCTCTCTCTCACTCCCTCCGTGCCGGCTGTCAGCACAGTGCCTGCGGACCGGGGAGGGAGATCTGTGATCTTCCTCCCCAGTCCGCAGGCACATTGCAGGGCTGGCACTTGGGGAATGCCAGCCCTGCGTTAACCGGCAGGGGGGAATCTCGGGGGGGGCAATTGCCCCGTTGCCCCCCCCCTGGATCCGCCAATGCATCCACTACACAAACACACACTACATCACTGTACACACTACTCAAATACACTCTGCGTTCACTATACAAACTGCATCCACTACACAAACACACACTCTGCATTCACTGCACAAACAGTATTTAATACACACAAACACTACATCCATTACACACATTCTAATTCACTTCCACTATACACACCGCATTCAGTCCTGCATCATTGTGAGCGGACTAGGTAGGGCGTGGGTGGGCCCGGGAGGGAGTGAGTGGGGGGGGGAGGGGAGGCAGACCATGTGCTTTGTCATGGGCTCCAAAATTTCTGATGGCAGCCCTGCCCCTGCCCCTTCCACAAGACACAGAGATATAAATTGTAAGAAGTCAGGTCCCTACAGGGAGGGTTTATAGAGGGACAGCAGACCTGCTCAGTAATGAAGATGGGAGCACTTAGGGACATAGAAAGATGTCAGTGTCTGTATAACTGTGTCTGTGTATGTCAGCGTCTGTGTGACTGTATCTCGATGTCTGTGCCTGTATGTCTCTGTATAAATTTGTATGTCAGTATCTGTATGACTGTCATACGGAGAAATACAGGCGCAGCCATTCGTATGACAGTGTCTGTATCTCACTGTATGTCAGTATGCAACTTTCCTCTTCCAAATGTTATGCAACATCCTGTGACGTTGTTTCTGGTGACATCACGCATACATAATTAATTATGCAAATTAGCATGGCCAGTATTTTTTTTGCCAAGAAAGGTGGCAACCCTAGGCAAGACTCATCTTATAACTCACCCTTCTGAGGCACCCCAAGGACCGATCAGCAGAATCTACACCAGTGGTGAACCATCCTGTGTGGTCCGTGGACAAGATCATACCATTTGTGTCAAAAGCGACCTTGTCCAAGTCTAATGAAGATCCAACTGGAAGAGCGTTGCACAATTGTGTTTCTCAATTTTATCTTGTTTTTAGTTAATCTGATGTTCTGACTCCACAGGCTGATGTTAGTCATGTGGTTGCCTGCTTATTTCCATCTACACCTACCACCGGTGCCTACAGGTGCTTACTGGCACCAGCCACCAGGCTACATTTTGGCACTTTATTCTCAAAGATTGCATCCTACATCTATGTGTATCTTATTGCCGGAGGTCTGTTTGTTGTTTACACTGTTTGTTTGTTTGTTTTTATTGGTTGTGGTCATACTGTAATATTTTGTGCAAACAAGAAAAATATATCAGGGGGCAGATGGGCTCCAACATGGCAGCAGGGTTGGCCAGCACCTCCATTGACACCACTGAGACTCTCCCAGCATTGCAAGAAAATTGAGGTTAAAGAATTAAAAAACAAAACATTTTAATGGAAAAAAGGGGGGGGGGGGGAGTGATCTAACCCATTAAAAGTACACTCCAATTAAAACATATCTATATATATATATAAAATGTATTTTAATTTATGTGTTGCTTTAATTTAAGATGGATAATGTAAAATGCATTAACCCCACAATAATTTGAAAGGGGCCAGTTCAAGCTGGGGGTCTCCCAGCACACACCCGCTGGCCTTTGCAGGCTTCCCGCCTTTTTCTGACTACTAACTGCGCATGCGTGCCGGGCCTGAACACCCCCCCCCCGTTGGAGTGTCCGGGTGGGAGGGGTCTGTGAGTGACGTCACGCAGCCCGCTGCTGGTTCGCTCAGTTGCCTCTCCGCCGGCTTCGTTGGTGCAGCTGTACGCCGTCTCCTCCGTCCTCCCTCCCTCACTCCGTGCCAGACCGGCCCCGATGAAGATGAACAGCACCAACGGGACCAAGCGGGCTCGCCACGACAGCTCCCCGCAGAGGGACGACGGCTACCAGACCCCCGAGAAGCGGGTGAGAGTGTGGTCCCCGGCGGCGGGCGCGGATTACCGGGAGTGGAGCACGGAGGACGTGTGTCTGTTCCTGGCTGGCCACGGGCTCGGGGAGCTGCAAGCCGCCTTCAGAGGTACGGCAGCACGGTCTGCAGAGCACCCAGCATGGGCCATCTGTCACCTCGGGCTGTCACCGGGCACAGGGGGTACAGAGAATTTAATATGGCAATATCTCACATCTCAGGATAATATATATATTTAATATTTATAGGTTAATATGTGGTCTAATTTAAATATATTTTAACCCCCTTAAGGACCAAACTTCTGGAATAAAAGGGAATCAAAAGTTAACAGCATAACTTTGAATATAATGGAAGGACATCTCAATATTTTATTTTAACTTTTTTTTTTTAAAGTATTTTAATCATTACAGTTAGTTTAGCAGGGGTAGGCACTGCACTCCAGATTTTGTGGACTACGTATCCTATTATGCTCTGCCAGCGTTGTGGTTGGAAGAGCATTATGAGAGTTGCAGTTTGCAATTCCTGGAGTGCCCAAGGTTGCTATAGTGCTTTTATATTTGAGTTGTTTGCCCTCGTGTTTTTTATATTTTACTTTAAACTGCAGATTTAAAGGTAAATGTGTACAGAGAGTTGCCGCTGGCTTGACAGGGTTACCCCAGTCTGCACCTTGGACTGGGGGTGCCCTGTCTGCACTGCATGTTCCTCTCTGCAGAGGGGTGTCATTTTCTCTGCTGGCTGGGCATGGTCACTCCAGTCTGCACATTGCAAGGAAGGCACCCTGTCTGCACTGCAAGTTCCTCCCTGCACAGTCTGCAGAGGGGTGCCACTGTCTCTGCCGGCTGGGCAAGGTGACCCCAGTCTGCACCTTGCATTGGGGGTGCCCTGTCTGGACTGCGATCTTCTCCATGTGCAGTCTGCAGAGGGGTGCCACTGGCTGGGCAGGGTCACCCCAGCCTGAACCATGCACTTGGGGTGCCACTGTCTGTGCTGCAGGCTGGGGATCAAGGACAAACCAGTGTGCATAGCATATCACTGTTATAGGGAGTTGATTGATATGTACTTTGCTTGTTTGTACTGCATATCTTAGACTGACCGTAACAAAAGCTTGTTTAGACTTAGTATCTATTATGATAGGGTTTATTTTTATTTGTTCATGGGCACTGAAACACAGAAGTCAAATAATATTGTGTAGTTGCTAAACAATATCAGATGACCCTGGGTTTATCTTCAGATAACTCTAGAATACTTCATTTATCAACTACAAAAGGTAGTGTGTGGTTTTTTTGTTTTTTTTCCACAGTTAAACTGGCACTGTCATGCCGAACTTATCTTTCCCTAATCGATTCTCCCTCTGTCAGGATCTGTTCATTCCTTCCGGTCTGCTCTAATTTTCTTTAAAACATAAGACAAAGTAGTGACTACTTTGTTTTATGGAGGTTTCCTACAGGTGACCAGCGGAGGAGCAAAGTGTGCTTCGTTTCCGGTGGTCAGAGCAATTTTCCCACAATTCTCACCTTTGATCCGTGATCTCGCGATGCGTCCTGTCACTTAGGACACCTGTGAAACTACCGAATGAGAACGGTTTGTTCATTCATGTTAGGACGCAATTCGGGACATTGTTTGGATCGGAATTTCATTCGAATGAAACTCCGATCCTGTTAGTGCTGCGGCTGCATCTTGCAGCTGCTTGTTAGATAACTCCCTAATTCCTCCAGTATCAGGGAGCTATCTACCACAAGGCTGAAAGACCTAAATTGGTCTTTCAGTCAAATCTACTAATACTAAGAAAAGATTACTTAGTATTAGTAAATTCTGCCCCTACTCGCTATGCTGTGAGTAGGGGCATGTCTTTTAAACGGTGAGCTGTGGCTGCTCACTTATTTAAAATATATATATATATATATATATATATATATATATATATATATATATATATATATATATATATATTTTAACCTCCCCATGGTGTGGCATCTCTTAAAGGACTCATTTTCCTGGCACTATAGTGCCCTGAGAGTGCCCCCACCCTCAGGGTCCCCCCCCCCGCCGGGCTCTGGGGAGAGGAAGGGGTTAAAATCTTACCTTTCTCCAGGGCGGGGAGCTTTCCTCCTCCTCCTTCCTAGCGACGTCATCGGCTGAATGCATATGCGCCGCGTGCGCATTCAGCCAGTTCATAGGAAATCATTTACAATGCTTTCCTATGGACGCTGGCGTCTTCTCACTGTGATTTTCACAGTGAGAAGCACGCAAGCGCCTTTAGCGGCTGTCAGTGAGACAGCCACTAGAGGCTTTAGAGGCTGGATTAACCCTCAGTGTAAACATAGCAGTTTCTCTGAAACTGCTATGTTTACAGCAGGCAGGGTTAGTCTTAGAGGGACCTGGCACCCAGAACACTTCATTAAGCTGAAGTGGTCTGGGTGCCTATAGTGGTCCTTTAACTCCTCCTCCAAGCTCCCACACGTGCCCCGCGAGTGGGGGCTATTAAAGTAAACTTGTAAGCAAGCACCAGAATTTTAAATTGAGTCCTATAGCTAACTGGAAGCCAGTGCAGGGACTGACAGGGGAGGTGCAGGCAGACAGGAAAATGAGCCTAGCCGCCGCATTCATTATAGAATTAAATCCCTTTAAATAAATAACTTACCATTTGATGTCGTCTTTTTTTCTAAAAACAACTTTTTTTCAGCCCCAAAAAATGCAGAAAAGAAAAAAAAACGCTAAAAAAGTAATCCATCTTCACCCATGGAGGGCACAGCGCAGACTGAGCTCTGCTGGGCGGGGAAAGGCTTATAAAGCCTTCCCACTCCCTGCAATTGGGCTCAGAGCGCTCTGGTTGGTTGGTTAAAGCCAACCAATCAGAGTGCTCTGACAGGTAAGTCTCTACATTTACCTGTCACAGCACTCTGGTTGGCTTTCAAGCCAACCAATCAGAGTGCTCGGTGTCATTTTACACAGCGTGGGAAAATTCTTTGGAATTTTCCCATGCTGTGTAATTTGACTCATAACACTCTGATTACAATAAATTCTCCCCCTCTTATTGTTACTTTGGGCCCCCACCCGCCGCTCAAGGGTAGGGGCTGGGGTGGAGGGCAATAGGGCTTCCCCCCACATTTTCATTTAGGGCCCCCACCTGCCGCTCTTGGATGGGGGCCAAAGGGGATCTATGTCCCCCTTTTACTTTAATAGCCCCCACTCGCAGGGGGAAGAGGGTGACGTCACTGTGTCCACCCTCCACAGGGTAGTTAACAGATGCCCCACCATGAGGCCTTTTATTGAGGGGTGGGGGTTATTTATTTATTTTTTTTTAACTGTGAGCAGCCACAGGCTGGTTTTCGGACCCCCCCAAATACAGTTAAACTGCACATTTTAGAGTGGATTTTTATTGTGGCCAGCCTAAGGCACACCTGTGCAATAATCATGCTGTCTAATCAGCATCTTGAAATGCCACACCTGTGAAGTGGATGGAGCAAAGTTCTCACTAACAGATTTGTGAACAATATTTGTGAGAAATAGGCCATAGATAAAGTGTAAATAGAAAGTCTTAGATCTTCGAGTTCAGATCATGAAAAATGGGGGCAAAAACAAGTGTTGCATTTATAATCGTGTTCCGTGTTCATAGTTTCTCCCATCTGTAAACATGGTGACTGCTTATGCATGCCTTGTACACTTCAGATCAAACCATGTAACTTTATGTGTATTCACTCTATTGTGAGGATCTGGACCAACAGATTCTGCCATTTCTTTGCCATGGAATGTTAAATGCACATCTTTAGCCTGAAAAGCTGTTTTTGAGCTATGTATCTGCACATACGCAGCAAATGTGCACCCTTAGTTATGGAAAAATTACTACTACTTTTAAAGGCACACTCCATAATATATTCTGTTTATCATAAACCCTTTGTATAGAGAAATTGCATTAAATACTTTTGCTGTACCTAAACTTGTTATACTTGCAGTATTTTAAAGGGAAACTGGAGTGTAAAGAGGACCATTTTTCGATTGTAATTCTGTAGGTAATCCATCAAAAAATGTTCCGCAGCGGCACTGTTTAGTGAGGCTGTCTGTAACTACAGGCGTATCCCTTCCTCCGTAGAAAGAGCCATTTTAATCAGGATGCTGTTCTATGGACGATATGATCTATATCTATCTAATAAATTCTTCTATCAGTAGTTTATGGGATATGTAGTTCATCCCCGAAGAGCCACACAAGTTGAGGGCCCTTTCTGTAAACTGATAACTGCCATATCATTGTTGCTATGAATCTACACAAAGCAAGGTTCATAGTTTAGTAATTTGTCTTGCGTATAACATAAGTTAGAACTTACATTTTAAGAAAATAATAACAAATACTATAACTTATACCTGGTTTTAATAAGCAAAAGTTCTTACATTATTTTGTGTGTATTTTAGTCCTAGTGTGAATTTGCTTTTTAAAAAATAAATAAAGCTTTATTACATCTAACATTCTGTTTGTTTTACCCTAGAAAACAAAATAAGAGGAAGGATATTAGAAGATCTCACTGAATCACGCCTGAATGAAATGCAAATTGAGTGAGTTGTGTTTATTTCATCTTATTTGATTAAAACTGTGAGAAATGAGTCTGTAGTATGATTGCGCCATAGCATTTACTATATGCTGTAGTGATTATGGTGCTTGGTAGGTGTTCCTTTTTAAATATAATACAGTGATATTTTCTTGTAGCAATACAACTACCAGTAATTTGAGCCTTATGTGGGTGATCAGAGCTTTTGAATCAGTAAAACAAGAAATGATTTACACTAAAGCATAAGTCTTATTACAGGAATACTTCAAGCACCATAACCGTTACCGCGTACTTTACAGTGGCTTGACTTCTTACCTGGGGTCAATTCGGGCACTGCTTCCCGCGTACACTATCACCAAAAGACATGACTTGACATAATTGCCTGGCACCATAACTGCTGTAGTGGTTATGGTGCTTTGATTGTTTATTTTGATATGTTTAAAACAGTGCCAAATGTTTGGTTTGTATTTTATTTAGATATTTTTTTATTTTGCTTTTTTTCTTTTTTTTTTTTCTTACATGGCAAGTGAAAAAAACAAACTTTTTTAGGTTTTTACATACTAAAACCCAATAGGAAAGTTCATATGTTAACTATGGTTCTCTTTCAAAAATTTTTTATTTATTTATTTATTTTTTTAAAATCTAGAAAAGGCTTGTTTATTTGGTTGGGTTTTTTTTTTGTGTGTGTGTTCTTTCTACCTGTAAATTCTATTTTCAGGCCTCTGGGGTTGCGATTGGAATTACTTCGCTGCTTAAGAATTCTGTGCCAGAACTCTCCTGATATAAAGAAGGTATTTATTATCGTTAAACGCATAACCTGCTCAGAGTGTATTACAAATGCTGAAGACAACGCTTGCATTTTGTTATGTTTTCCCACTGTCTAACCCTCATACCATCATAACCAAAAATTTGTGCTGTCTATTCAAATACCATATCAATCTTATTATACCTGCTATCATTCTGTTTGCAACGGCTATTGTGGCTGAGTAAGGTATGTATTCATCTTCTTGGCTTATATCCCGTGGTGGTGTGTGTGTGTGTGTGTGTTTTTTTTTTTTTTTCTCCTCTTTTTAAATTTTTTTTTTTCTATTTTCTTTTAAATAAACTGATCTTTCGGCATCTATTTTATTTATTATTTTTCTTATTATGTACAAAGCTTTCATCACATTAAAGGACAGCTATAGGCTTAATGAAGTGGTCTGGGTGCCAGGTCCAGCTAGGATTAACCCTTTCTTCTATAAACATAGCAGTTTCAGAGCTATGTTTATAATAGGGTTAATCCAGCCGCTAGAGGCGCTTCTCACATGCCAGCGTCCATAGGAAAGCATTGAGTGCTTTCCTATGGACTGCCTGAATGTGTGCGCATTCAGCCGATGACGTTGCTATGGAGGAGGAGGCACTATGGTGGTCCTTTAAGGTTCAAAACCGACACCCTTAACCCAATGGCTTGATGTCCCTCACACTTCAGAAAAATATATGCTGATGGTTCATGATATGTCATGGTGATAAATTGTCTGAGTGTCTGCCTGCTCTCTGGAGTCAGACTGTTATTTTAACAACAACTACTCAACATGTCTGCTCAGCCAAATAAAGTGAACATTTCTAAACAAAAAACAATGTGCATCATTAAAAAACATTAACTGAGACAAGTTGAGTAGGAGGAGATACCAGCAAAAGATACAATGAAGGAGGAGAGAGAAAATGGGTGCCAGGAGAGGACCGTGTCATGGAGGGCAAAATAGGAAAGTATCCCAAAGCAGACTCTTGCTTTTGATTGTCAGTGTATGCAGTCAGACTTTGTTCAGCTGTGAGGTGCCTCTCCATTACATTCAGGGGTAGGCAACCTTTGGCACTCCAGATGTTTTAGACTACACCTCCCATGATGCTGTGTCAGTACTATGACTGTAAAAGCATTATGCGAGATGTAGTCCATAACATCTGGAGTGCTGAAGGTTGCCTACCCCTGTAACTAAATGTTTAGTGTCTTTTTTTTTATTACATTTTCAGTTTGAAATGGGTGCATGATATAGCCGAATTGGAAATAAGTGTGTTTGGTTTTTTTTGTTTTTTGGTTTTTTTTGCCACTGCAGAATTTAGCTGAAAAAGCAAAGATTGCCCATGGCTGCCATCATCAAAGATAACACATGTGCTGCTTATCTGCTTCACATTACCTTGAATCCCTTTTGTTTATATTCTGTCTAGCAGATGGGGGGGGGGGGATAATCCTACTGGCATAAATTGTTTGAATTCGGATAGATAATAGTGTGGTTTTCCCAAGGTCACCAAGGAATAACTTGTGATTACAAGATGACTCTGCCAGGAGTGTTTTCCTTCTTAAGATCGCATGTTCTGTTTTATTATGCCTTACCAAAGAGTTCCAGATAAAATAAGTTATTTTAGTCAATGGGAATCTGACATTGTTAAATGTTTTTATAGGGATGACCTTTAAATGACACAAAAACAAATTTCCATACAAAAGCATGATTTCAAGCTTACAGTTTATAAACAAGTTTAAAGGGACACTATAGTCACCAGAACTACAGTTTATTGTATTTGTTCTGTTGAGTATAATCAGTCCCTTCAGGCTTTTTGCAGTGAACACGGTCTTTCCTTAGAAATGTTTAAGCAACAGCCTAGTGATACCTCCAGTAGCCAATCCTCAGGAGGCTGCTAGACGTGCTTCCTGGGGCAGTGCTGGACAGTGTGACTTTCATTCAGTGTCTCCACCCATGGAGACACTGAACTTTTTCTCAGAGATGCATTGATTTAATGGATCTCTGAGGAGATGCTTATTGGCTAGTGCTGTTTGGCTTGTGCTGGCTCTTTCCCTGATCTGCCTTCTTGACAATCTTGGCTAACCCAATGAGATTACCAATTCTGATGATGTCAGCCAAGGAGGCAGATCAGGGGAAGATTCAGCAGCAGCAAACTGGAATAAAGGTAAGAGTTTACTAAATTTAGGGGAGCCAGGGGGTTTAGTGTTTTGTTCCTGACCCTGTAGTATTTAAATGGCACCTGTAGTGCCTTTAAAAAGAGCATGACGCTCCATCTCTATACTCTGTGTTGGTTGACTTTTTAATCTTCTGGTGCTCTCTCCTTATTTCTGAAGGTATTCAATGATCCTATACACGGCCATATTGAGATGCATCCTCTCTTGGTACGCATTATTGATACCCCTCAGTTTCAGCGTCTTCGATATATTAAACAGCTTGGTGGCAGCTATTATGTGTTTCCCGGGGCCTGTCATAACAGATTTGAACACTCCATCGGGTAATGTATCTATTCATCTAAATCAATTTATTACAAAACACTAGATTTGTAGCAGCTGAAGCAGTTTTATGAGGAATTGGCACCTTCTAATTGGTTAATTGTTTTACCTTATCCTGGTAAGTACAGGTGAAGAGTGTAGCAGCGGTTGTGTTTTCATAGGCATCATTTCCAGAATACATTTGTGTCCTTGCAGAATCCAGGTATCATGTGAATCAAATATAGGCTAAATCAGGAGTGCCCAAAGGGTAGAACCCCAGATGATACCGTGTCATTCTAAAGACATGAAAAGCCTCAGCTGTAGTTCTACAACATCTAAGAGCTACCTTTTGTACACCCCTGATCTAAACGTTACGTTTGATATAAACACACGAACAACAATTGCAAGGCTTAAAGAAAAAGTCCAGACTCTGTCAATAGCTTATTTTGGTAAGTGTTAAGCTATAAAATTACCTCCAAGTTGATCTCTAGAATGTAAGCTCATTGAGCAGGGCCCTCCACTTCTCTGTTCATGTACATCCAGTTGTCTGGTTACAATTACATGTGTTAGTCCACCCATTGTACAGCGCTACAGAATCTGATGGCGCTATATAAATAATAAAAAAATAATAGTGCTTTTTTTTTTTTTCACGAGACGGCAGGGATTTGTAATGAAATGTTAGTGTTAGCTACATTGGCTGAATTTTTTTAAATTTGATATTCAGAGCACTAGTAATTGTTTTTATTTTGGGTGGGGTGGGGGGGGGGGGCATTTGACGAATAAATCCATTGGCATCTATGGAATTTATTGATGATAATCACTTTGACAAACACTGTGTGTTGCTAATTGAGGGTGTATGTTCCCCCTCTTCATTTTTTTTTGTCTGTGTCAGTGCTTTTGACATGCTTCTAAATACACTCTGCCGAATAGATATATTGAAAAACAGGTTTGCTGACCGCACCATGAGAACAGCCAAGAGTTTTCTGTTAGTTATGCTTTCCATTGCAACAAAAAACAACTGCTGTTATGGGAGTTGCAGCAGTTTCTGTAGACCTTCTGCTAGCAAAATTGCTAAAACAACCTTGTTTGTGATATCAAGATGATGTCTATATGTTGATGTTGATAACATCAGTGTTACTGGATCAAAGCAAAACACTGCAGCTTTGGAAGGATAGGAAAATTTAATTGGATTTTATAAAATCAAACGAATACTCATTTTAATCTTTGCATTGTAAGCTCATGGGCTGTCTTGCAAAGTACATTGTATAAAATAACGTCCATGGTTAGTTCTGAGCTCATGTTCAGGGTTCTCTTCACCAGTAGTATTTGTTTTATTGTACTGTCTTTCCCCAATTGTACAGAGCTGCATGATTTGATGGTGCTTTATAAATGCCAGTAATATTTAAAGGAGAAAATTAACCCTCTTTTAAAATGATCCATTATTAGTCCCAAAGTCCTTGTGACAACGTGTCGGGCTTTCCTGTCCGAGCCCTTTACTTAATGATTTGATAAGATGGAGTCTAACTGGCCTATTAAGCCACCTAAGTACTGTAGTTGTATAACATGTAGGGAAAGACCGATAATCGGTTTGGCCGATATTCCGGATTTTAGCAAATATCGGTATTGGCCACTATTGATACCGATATTGTGAGGGGCCAGCACGTCTATAAGGCGGCACAGGCTGCGCTTGGCTACACTACAAGAGCGATAATGAGCCCCTGCAGGGTGGGGAGAGGACCACTAAAGGACAGGGACGGTAGAGGTACACTAAATATTCTTGAAACCAAAAAATTCTGACTGGCGTGTATATTTTGTGCATTTACCTTTGATAAAAAGACTACCAAAAATAAGTAATCATGTTCAATTAACAGTAGATTTGTGTGTGTATGTATGTATGTATATATGTATATATGTGTATGTATATGTATATATGTATGTGTATGTGTATGTATATGTATATATGTATGTGTGTGTGTATATATATGTATATGTATATGTATATGTGTATATGTGTATGTGTATATATATATGTATATGTGTATATATATATGTATGTGTATATATGTGTGTGTATGTGTGTATGTATATGTATATATATAATTTTTATTTCTTCAAATGGTAAATGTACAGAGTATCGGTGAGCTATCAGTATCGCTTCCAGCTCTAAAAAAAATCCATATCGGTCGATCCTTAATGACAGGAACATATGTAGCATGCTGATGCAATTTAAGCTGGTCCTGTAACTGAAGCAGACGCTAAAGAGAATGAAATGGTTTATTAAAAAAATATATATATATATATATATATATATATATATATATATATAATTTTTTTTTTTTTGTATTACAAATATTGGTTTAGGTACAATATGTTGCAGTGCTTATGGTATCTCTTTTTAAATGTTGTGAAATTGAGTCTTGTAAAGCCAGATTTACAAGCCAAGCTAATACTTGATTTTTATTTATTTTTAAATTTTGTGAGGTAATGGTAGCCTCTATAATGAAAGAGGAGTTACTAGCTGGCCTCTGGCTGCTTGTTGTGAATTGTGTAGACTGTAATGATAAGACAAGAGGGACTTGATTACAGAAGTTCAATTGGAGCACAAAAAGATAACAATGGCTAGCATCTGGTTACTAGTCACTTGTCCTGTTTCTTGTCATTATGTTGTAATTTGTCCCCTATCTGCCTCACAGGCATTGTGAGAAAAAAAAAATTACACTGCACACAGGCTCTTTCAGAAGAATCCTAAACATTTAAAAATGTGTTGTTTTTGTTTGTTTTGGGTTTTTTAGTACTAAAATTTAAACTTTAAATAATATCCCTATAGATACTTCATACATATTTACACAAGGTCTGGATCAGTTCTTTTGTTTCCCACAAAGGCTTGTGACATTCATGCAATTCAAAATTACTTTTATCCCATTCACCTCAAGGGGCGACACAAGTCTGCTGTGGTGAATGTGTCAATACCCAGTAACTGTAAACTCTAGAAGAGAGTTGATGATGAAAACTGATGATGGACTAATACTTGGGGTCAAGAGAGGAGCTAAAAAGGTGGGAAATGGGGGCTGTAGTAGTTTCAGTGCTGATAGAAGCCAAAGTTGGCTTCAGCAAATTTCATGTGGGACACCAAAGATCTCCGTTCAGAACTGTGTAGTTATAGTAACCAGTAAGATGCTATGCTAAACCCTTGGACTCTATCTTCTGTTAGAGGACCAGAAAATGAGGAAGACACAAAGAACACCCAGTTGGATGAATGTGGAAACAGGTCTATGTATCCATATAAAAAAATTAAGACCATCCTATACTGATCTGCAATTTTATAGCTAACAAAAATGTACTGGAGTATTTAAAAGTTGTTCAAGTATGTTTTATGAAAATTAAACTACAAATTTAAAAAAAACAAGTGTTTCTCTATAATCATTGCGTGTATCTTTTGGACAGTGTTGGCTATCTAGCAGGCTGTCTGGTGAGGTCATTGCATGAACGTCAACCAGAACTTCAGATCAACAAGAGAGACATGCTCTGTGTCCAGATTGCTGGCCTTTGTCATGACTTAGGTAACTATCTACACAATCTGTCAATGCACAATATTTTGTACTAGAAGTCATATGGCTGTGTTTTGTGTATATATTTTTATTTTTTTCCCTTTTGTTTTGTGTCTAAAATCCCAAAAAGCCTACACTAATAATTGCTAACATGGTTTGCGTGTCTGTTTGTCCATTTTAATTGAAACTTTATATTTCTGTCACCTTTTCAGGTCATGGGCCATTTTCCCATATGTTTGATGGGAGATTCATGCCACTTGCCTGTCCAAAGAGGAATTTTAAGGTGTGTGTCCCTATACTTATTTTTATTAGTTATATGTCTGGTTTTTGTTACAAATTTCAGTGTATCCTTTTGTGTACATATAATTAAACAAAAAAAATCTGAGGTCTTGGTATTATCCTAATAATGAGGCGAATTAGGTCAGTGTTATAGGTTTATGCAAATTTGGCAGAATTATTTAATATAACTATTGACTCAAACATTGACCTTAAAAGAGGCTTAGAAAGAGGCTTTCATATCCCTTATCACATTGTAAATTGGATTTATCCCCCACCCCACACATTTATTTTGTCATACTACATATTGTGATAGAAGAAAAAAAAAAAATAACGCAGGGATAGGCAACATGTTTTGGACTACATTTCCCTAATGCTCTTGCAGCAATAATACTGGCACAATGTCTGTTGAGATGTAGTCTGCAACATCTGGAGTGCCGGAGGTTGTTTACCACTGCTCTAGTGTATCCCTTTAAGAAATGTTAAAGGAACACTCCACTGGATTTTCACTGTATAGTAGAGATATATCTCCTGTCTCCTCTTCTAAAACATGAATACATCTTTTTATTTTTTGGGGTGTGGCTATATTGGAAAGAAATAGTTTGCAAAAACTACGAGCCTGCTGTCCGGCCCTCCCATTTATCCCCTGCACAGACAAGAAGTCTGTGGCAGGCAATTGCCCAATCAACGCTTCTCATTGGGGAAAAAACTGCAGTCTTCGCTTCCTAATGCTTCTCAATGAGCACTAGCGTACCTGCCACTTCCGTTGGCTCTATGAACCTCACAAAAGCAGGTATACACCTCCTCTGTTGTCTGTATGACACATGCAGCTGTTTCTACCCTCAACTATAAAAGTTGCCAATTTTTTGTAAAATTAGCATTAATATGATTTTGTATATAAAAAAAAAAACAAACAAACAAAAAACAGACCCACACAAAGCACTTCATCAAGCTTGAGTGTTCCTTTAAACCATGTGTCTTTGCAATTGTGCAGTAGCGCCTGTAAAGCAGGCTGGTTGCCTCATTCATCTGTTCCATTTCTGCTTTCTGTCAACCTATATCAAGAGGAGAAAAAAAACTTCAATTGTTCAGTATTACACTGCATACCATAGAGCGCTTTTACGGCATACATTTCAGTGTTCTGAATTTTGTGTTTTATAATGTTTCTTTACCCCCAGCATGAAACTGCTTCTGTAAAAATGTTTGACCATCTCATTGAATCCAATAACTTGGAGGATATAATGACGAAACATGGTCTTTGCTTGCCCGAGGACTTAATATTTATAAAAGAGCAAATTGCAGGACCTTTGTCATCAGAAGAAGAACAACATTTTGACTCCAGTCAGAATAATTCTTCAGTAAGTATTTTTCTTGCACTCTTATTTTTGGTTCTACTAGCATCCTGTGTTTCTATATTTGCATGTGGTTGGAATTTATCTGGGTGCTTGATGTTATTCTGTGTGGGGTTATGTATTTTTTTTTTTTACAGAATGTAGTCATTCTTGTTTTTCACATCATCACATGAGAATATCTGGTTTGGTAGCATAATATTAAGCACCTATAGACCAACAGGTTTATTCAAAATTCAAATATTAAAGTAATAATTTAAAAGTGAATTTAAAAATTGATGCCAGACTAGCTAAACTGAAAGCATAGCTGACTTAGAATTATTTTTCAGTTTGGCTTTTTTGACCTTTAAATTATTATTTTTTTTTTTTCCAAAGACCTTTTTTCATTGTGAATGCAATATACAAAAGACTTGTGCATAGTATCAACAGCAGCAAATGAGTTCTAGATTAACGGCAGTGTTAATAGTGCACGTGAACCGTTACATTCAGAGTTTGGTATTTAACATAGTAACATAAGTAAAACTAACAAATATCTAATAAAACTGTTTTCATCATAACAAGGTCATGGACATCATTTAACAGTGACCATGAGGTCACCAAATAAACATCTCACGAGGTATGGTATTGATTCTTTTTTGATCTGCCATCACCTATGCCGAGAATCATGCTGTGTATTCCAAAGTGGTTCTCACCTTGGTCTCAAAGACAAAATAAATTTTCTGGCAAGGAGTTCTTTATTTGGTCAGTGTCTAACCTAGGCTTCTCCAAACCCCGGCCCTCAAGATGTTGCTGAACTAAAACTCCCATGGTTCTCAGCCGATCAACTTCATTCATAGAATCATGGGAGTTGTAGTTAAGTAACATCTGGAGGGCCGGACTTTGGGGAAGCCTGGTCAAACCATTCAATTTTAAATATGAAATTGAATTTGGTTAATAATTGTAAATTAGGTGCACTTTGCTGGTTACCTGTGTTAATGTACTTTTTATGCCTTGAAAAAACATTTTATGTTGGTTAATTGAGTATGAATTCAGGTTAATATTTCACATCTTGCAGTGGCCGTATCGAGGACGAACAGAAGAGAAATGCTTCCTTTATGAGATTGTCGCTAATAAAAGAAATGGCATTGATGTGGACAAATGGGACTACTTTGCAAGGTACCTGCAAACCTTCTTGCTTCCTGCTTTCTTAGTTTTTTGTGCAACCTCCCAACTTCATTTGAGGGTTCTTGGATAGCCTGTATGGACCACAGTCATTTGAGGTTCCTTTCAAGAGCCAACCATCATATCGTTAACGATAAAATATCCATACTTTTGCCCATGTAGACATTTATTATTTTATTTCTTGAAAAGTATTTTGTACCATGACATTTAATTCACAATAATACTCCCTTTGTTAATCTCCCTCCTCCCTCCCTCCCTCCTTTTCTTTCTTTCTTTTCTCCCCATCCCAAATATATGGCACCAGAGCTTCCTTTTACCTCTGCAAACAGGGTTTTGTGTGTTTTTTTTCGTTTTTTTTTTTTTTTTTTTTTTTTTTTCTTCCCCTCTTCTTGCAATTATGTCAGAGAGACAGAAGTTCTAGGTGCTCCCCCCCCACCTCCTCCCTTTCATATTGAACTGTTACAGTTCATTGAGTATCATTGGAATTGTGTGTACTTGCGTCTCCAGCACAGAGGCTTCTCAGTTTGACAATCCGCAGGCACAGACTGAATGTGTGGGCTGGGGAGAAAGGGGGTGACTTGTAAAAGCTGCAGAAAGGTCTGTAGCTTTTGCAAGATGTTTTCATACAGAAAACATGCTGATTAAAAAAAATATTAAAATATATAAATTGGATTAGCCATATTCGTCCAGTAGACAAGATGCCAAAATACCAGAGTATTGCTGTATGCAATGATACCTCTTTTTATTTTTTATTGGACTAACCTAATATTTCACAGACAAGCTTTCAAGAGTTATCCTCTCTTCCTCAGATGTGACGCAATACTGATCAATCTGATAGTTTAACACTTAAAACAACTGATGTTAGGGAAGGGTGGGGTTGAGTAGGGTGTCATAAATAGCAGAAGATGTGCCTGAAAGTGTTGTGGATGCAAATGTTGATCTTTATATTCAGAGGAAGCCTAAATTAAGCCTCTGCCATTTTATTCATCAGCTGGGTTTTTATACATTAAAAAGTAAGTGCTTATGTGCAAATACTCATAGAACAGTAATAGGAAGGGAGTACAGATAAGACATGGGGATGAACGTCATGTGCACATAACAAATAAGTTCCAAGAAATAGAGAGCACAAAAAGATTAGAGAAGAGACATATCAGGTGGGGGCTCTCTGCTCCCGGAACTAGACATATATGGTCTTAAGTGTCGTGTTAAGCATCAAGCATTTCCTGAGTCCAAGTTAGCCAATTTTAATAAAGGATATCATTATGACACCTATAAGCTTGATCCTTGGAATCAAGATAAATTCTATCAGAAAAGTGAAAGGTGCAGGTTGGCTAAGAATAGCCAGAAAAAAGTTAATAAAAAGAGGAGTCAATAAGCTATTTTAAAAAGAAAACAAGAGCATGAAAGTATATAGCTGCGCATATATCTATATAGATACGGTAGTTCCAATAAAGGTGAAGTGCGAATATTGAAAGAACTATAAGACATTAAGATGTGTTTATAAAAATTTGTGGTACTTTGTCAGAAAGCCAGAGTCTACATTAAGTCCTTCGTTTTCTGGTGTTGAAATGTGTGATCATTTTCATCTCAAATGTCTTTTGTTCATGAGTCTTTGAAATTCCCTTTAAGAATTTTAATCCTGAGGCTTTGGATGGAGTGACCAGTCTGGGTGAAGTGATGACCACCAGGGGTACAATATTTGTTTTCTTTGTGGTTCTTGATTGTCTGTGATTCATTCTGAGATGCAGCTTAAGGCCAGTTTCTCCAATGTATTAACCTTTTGTCACACTGTATCATGTATACCACATTCGCAGTTGTGCACGAATATGATGATCCCTTAATGTTGTATAATTTGTTATTGTGTCTTGCTGTTATTGCCACATATATGCTGACAGTTTGCAGAGTGATTTGAAACTTTTTTTTTTTTTTTAGCTTTAAACATGTAAAAATAAATTACATGTCTAGATAGTGTGTGTGTGTATATATATTCTCATCATATGTAGAGTATTTTATTAATATAATTAGATATTGGTATTAAAATACACTTAGAATGACTTTCTATATAAATACAAATAACTGCGCGTATGTATTATTTATTTAAAAAATATTTTACCAGGAAAGATACATTGAGATTTCTCTCGTTTTCAAGTACCGTATATACTCGTGTATAAGTCAATCTCATGTATAAGTCGAGTGCAGTTTTGTGACCAACAATTGTGAAATATGCTATGCCTCGTGGATAAGTCGAGGGTAAAACTTGGGGCTATGAAATTCTGTGATTTTTAGAATTATATACACACACTCATACAAACACACACTCCACATTATACACACTCATACAAACAATCTGCATTCTACACACACACACACACACACTCTATATTATATACGCACACACTGTGTGTGTTTGTATGAGTGTGTGTTGAATACAGATTGTTTGCATGAGTGTGTGTGAGAGAACTGGGTGGGAGGAGGGCATTTTTATTTTTTTATTTTAATATTTTAAGTTTTTTATTTTTTTTATTTAGTTTTCGTCCCCCCTCCCTGCTTATTAGCTTACCAGGGAGGGGGGCTCTCACTCCCTGGTGGTCCAGTGGATGGGCTGTGTAGGAGGGGGGGGCTGACAGTGAGCAGTTACTTACCTTCCTGCAGCTCCTGTCAGCTCCCTTCTCCTCCGTGCAGCTCCCACTGTAAGTCTCGCGAGAGCCGCGGTGTCCCCGCGGCTCTTGCGAGACTTACAGTGGGAGCTGACAGAGGAGCTGCACGGAGAAGGGAGCTGACAGGAGCTGCAGGAAGGTAAGTAACTGCTCACTGTCAGCCCCCAACAGGACCGCCGGGCTTGTAATGAGCCCGGCGGTCCTGGTCTGTATTATGGCAATGTAAATTGCCATAATACAGACATTAACTAGAGTATAAGTCGAGTGGGGGTTTTTCAGCACAAAAAATGTGCTGAAAAACTCGACTTATACTAGAGTATATACGGTATGTCCTGGGTCCACAAATCATTGCATTGTTAAACTAGGGTACAACAAAATACAAAAACAATATTAATACACAATATATACAAAATTGAACATAGAACAGGCAGGAAATATATAATCAAACATGACGCGTGCATTCTGTTTTGAGGTATGTAGAGTGGTATCTCTTAAAGGACTTTAGGCTTAGGGAAGATTTTAAATTGTGCGGGAGGTTGTTCCACAATTGCGGTGCTCTATAGGAGGAGGATCGGGCCGCTTTCTTTTTGTATTGAGGTAGACTAAGTAAAGTGCTTGTACTGGATCGGAGCTTATAGGAAGTGGGAACAGCTGGGGAAAGCATTTTGTTCAGGTAGGGTGGGAGTTTCCCAGAAAAGCTCTTAAAAACAAGGCTGGAAAGATGAAGGGTGAGTCTGGATTCCAGCGACAGCCAGTTTAGTTCTTCTAGCATGTCACAATGATGTGTCCTGTAATTACATTGTAGCATAAATCGGCAGAACGAGTTATACAATGTGTTGAGTTTATTAATGTGGCATTGCGATGCAGATGCATATACTACATCCCCATAATCAATGATTGGCATCAGCATTTGCTGTACAATCTTTTCCTTTACTGTAGGGCTTAGGCAGGCTTTGTTTCTGTATAGGGCACCTAGTTTTGGATAAAGTTTAGATGCAAGCTTTTCTATGTGCAGACCAAAAGATAGATTGGGGTCTAATATCATACCCAAGTATTTGAAAGCGTGGACTGCAGTCAGTGTGCCATTTGAATTTGTTTTGATGGATAGGTGGAATTTGTGTAATTTAGGTACTGTTCCAAAGATCATTGTGACAGTTTTGTCAGTGTTCAGGAAGAGTTTGTTTTTTGCGATCCACTTTTCTACCTCTGTAAACTGGTCTGGGAGCACAGCCTCAAATTGCGGTAGATTGGATTTGCTCGCATAGATTACCGTGTCATCTGCGTACATGTGTACATTTGAGGATTGGCAGACATAAGGCAGATCGTTTATAAATAATATAACTAGTAGGGGGCCGAGAATGGAACCCTGGGGAACACCACACGTGACTGGGAGAGAGAGGGAGTCACTGTCAGAAATGGACACATATTGGGAGTGATCCGATACATTCGATCGAAACCAGTTTAGAGAATGATCACCAATACCTGAGTTTTAGAGTTTGTGCAGTAGAATATCGTGGTCTACTGTGTCAAAGGCCTTAGCAAAATTTATTTATATTTATTTTTTTAAACAAAAATCTGCACACCAGTCAAGCCATAAGACTTTCTTTTTCCACAGAAATCACTAACTTGCAGTGATGTTACTACCGCAAAGGATTCTGGGTGGGCACATGCAAATTAGTTTAACAAAGAATCACATTTTTGCCACATTCCATTTTAAACATGGATTCTTTTAAATCTGTGTTTGCTGTATACAACAGCTTTGAAACACAACTTAGGGGGTTTTCAATCACAATTTGTTCCCCACCATAAACTTTTTGTTTTTTGCTTCCCAAGCACTACAAAGCCTCTAAGTAAAACAGTAACCAACCTCGTGCTGATAATTTGCATTAACAATGAAACTGCTGTCCATGAGTGGTTTACTGGCTTTGCATCTTTTCCTAAGTTGTTTCAAAGCTGAGAAATGGTCATTACAGAGACCGTTTTCAGCTTTACCTCCAGGGCAAGATTAACGGCCTTAATAGGTCTTGCTAGAAAGCCCTAGAAATCTACAGTGAAATTAGGAGGCAAAATTTCTGTCTATTTCAGTATAAGTAGTGACAGAACATTGTAAAAGTGCAGAAAAGTTTTGTGTTGTTGAAGCACTGTGCAAAATGTTTATATTTAGTCTTTAACCCCTTAATGCCGTTACGGCGTTCTATGCTGTCTCGCATTAAATGGGCTTTAAAGCCATTGCGGCGGCGTAACTGCTTAATCTCCCAGGAGCTCGGTGGTACTAACCTCCACCGTGATCCTCTTCGGGAGGACTGCCTGACAGCCCAGACAGCCCTCCTCCGGCAAATCAGGCCCTGGATCTGCCAGCAGGGGAACTGTCTGAAATGTCAGACAGTCCCACTGCTGGTGGGAAGTGTAAAAATAAAAAAACATATATTAGACAAGTTTTAAATAAGTGTGTGTGTGTGTGTTTTTTTTTTTTTTTACTTTTTTCACACAAACAAAAACAAATATGAACGCTAACTTTGGCCAGTGTTTGTGACTGTGTCTACTGTAAAAGACTGGACATACCCCACTTGCAATACCTTGGGTTGTCTACGTTTGCAAATGGTACGCCATCATGGGGGGTAAATCTCATTCCTGGGCTACCACATGGTCTCAAAGGCAACATAACCAGTCGGGCAAATTTCAATTTGAAAAAATCTGAAAAATGGAATGTGCTATATTTGACCCTTTAACTTCCCAAAACACTGCAAAAACTGTTAATGGAGGGGGTACTGTTGTACTCGTGAGACTTTGCTGAATCCAAATATGTGTTTGTTTTTTTTGTTTTTGTTTTGTTTTTTTTTGCAGTTAAAGCTAACGGTATTATGACATTTACAGCTAAAATGTCTACAATTTTTTTTTTAAATCTTCATTTCTCAGTTTTTTTAAATTTTATTCATAATAAATTGTTTCAAATATGAATAGTTAATGAGAAATTAAAGCCCAGTTTCTCCTGAATAAAATGATATATAATAAGTGTGGGTGCATATAATATGAAAGAGGTGAATTACGGTTGAACAGACATATAGCGCAAATTCCAGTTTTTGTTTACATTTTGTTTTGATCAGAACGTGTACTATTGACTCCGTCCTGAAGGGGTTAATATATATAATTGTGTTTGGGTTTGTTTTTTTCCTTATGACCGTGAATAGCTCACTTGTTGAGCCTGAAATCAGTTGTTGGAATAAGCTAAAAGTGTTAAATTTTCAAATAATTAACTAGAGTTGCACTCTTGTGTTTTTAACAGGGACTGCCATCACCTAGGCATTCAAAATAACTTTGATTATAACAGATTTCTCAAATTTGCCCGTGTTTGCACAGTTGGAAACAAGAAACACATCTGTACCCGAGACAAGGTAAAATATTTTCATTTAAACAACTTTTCTAAATGTGTTGTCTGTTTTTTGTGAAAATATATAAAAAAAAATTATTTTTTTTGGTCTTTCAAATGCACTTTGCCAATTTCATGTATTAATTTTTTATTTTTTTTCGCAATAGGAAGTTGGGAACCTGTATGACATGTTTCACACGCGCAACTGTTTGCATCGAAGGGCATACCAGCACAAAGTTGGCAACATCATAGAAACAATGTAAGTGGAAATAAAGGTTTTATTTGACATATTTTACAACACTGGTTAGTGAAACCTCAGTTGTTTGAATGTAAGAGCCACATTCTACAATTCAATAATCTAGATTGGTGGTGTAGTGCTCACCAGCTAGCCTGCTCCCACATGATTAGATAAACATGCAGCCTACTTCCTGTGGTTACAATGTGATAGAGAGAAGCTGAAATGTCTTCAGAGTTTGCTTGGTGTCATGTACTTGGAAGCTGAAGCAATCTTCACCACTGCTGTCCTGCTGCTGACTTAATGTGTATACAAAACATCCCTGCATTGTAGCTGTAGATTTAATGTAATAAACTGTTAACCAACGTTCAGGTGTAATGATGAGAAGGCAAGAGAGACCGGAGTTATTCAATATTCTGGCTTTGTTCTCCTTTACAATTTTTAGATGTTTTATGTGGTTTTTTTTTTAATTGCAATTTTACCTAAAATGAGCCGATTTACAGGAGTTACCTTGACTGTTTCTGTTTTGTTTTACTAGGATTACAGATGCTTTCCTAAAAGCTGACCCACACATCAAAATAGAGGGCTTAGACGGCAAATTTTATACTATCTCTGGGTCTGTGGACGACATGGAGGCATATACTAAGCTCACAGGTCGGTTATTTAAAAGGAAACCCAATATAATTGAGTATATTTCAGAGAGCAATCTACCTGGACTGGTAAATAGGATCTCTCCAAAATGTGTCTTGTCGTCTGCTGTAAAATTATTTTTAGTGTTCAGTGTAAAGATGAGCTTGTAACAGGTTAACTGCACTATTTTCAGATAACATTTTCCAGCAGATACTTTACTCAAGCGATCCCAAACTGTCCGAATCCAGAGACATCCTACGCAAAGTAGAACTCCGCCAGTTGTACAAATATGTGGGGCAGACACATCCTACTTCTAGCAACAGGATAAAACCGGTAAGGCAATAGTGTCACCAATGGCACTTATTCTTACCTTCCACATATTGAAGTGTCATTATTGTATAATGAAATTATTCATGGGTGAACCCCAGATTGTCTGCAATTATAATTTAAATTTCTCTAATCTCCACATCATCAGAGAGGCAGTTCAATGGATAGATATTAGGCTCCTGGTCTTGTGGTAACTAACAAGGGAACACCCAAGGTGCAGTTAACACCTTATATTTTTATGTCAATGGAAAGGTTAGTGCAAGTGTGTTTTGCAAAACGTGAGTCCACGTGCAGAGAAGTTGTAAGGTGTACAGCCTTGAATGTACTTAAAATTATGTGAATTAAAGTATATAAATTAGTGTGTGTGTGTCCGGTATATGTACGAATATATGAAAAGTTACTTTAAGTTTTTATGGTGAAATTGAGATGCAGTTCTATATACTCTGTAAAAAGTTTCACCAGCAGAATGCACATTTGTATGGTGTGTGTGTGTGTATAAGCATAATTTGCTTTCCTTCCTATTTGCTTGGATCTAATATTTTGTAATTTCTTCATGCTGAGCATATGAAAATTGTTGCTTTGTATATAGTTGACATCAAAGGAATTGCTTTGATTAGTCAATTATTGCTCCCACCTGATGCACATAAAAATGTACATGTAATGGAGCAGTGCACATTATATGTTGCCCATCACTGTTAAGTGACATGTATCAAGGATCCCATGTAATATCTGGTAATGACAATATTTGTGCTCAATATCTAAAGTTAGGGAGGGGGTGTGGGTGTGTGTTTTATTTCTTGTTTGGTTTGTGAGCACTGTGAAATGCAGGACGCCTGAATTAAAGGGACATGCATCACTTGACATGATGTGTATAATCACATTCTAAACTTGGCTTGTGCGGAAAGAATATGAAATAAGCAGGTAAATATGAAAAAAATAATCATTCGGTTTGCAGAGTGAGGCAATTATCTTTTAAATCGGATAGTTGTATCATGCATGTCCCTTTAACAAGCTAGTATTAGTTTATATATCCCAAGTTGCAGAAACCATTTCCGGTGTATATTCGCAGCAGTAGTGTGTTTTATTTTTATTTTTTTTTATTTTATTTTTTTCTTTTGGTCGTGCAAAGTATATACACTATTGAGACAATCATGGTGTGATTTTACACAGAAAATAAAGTGTACATACAGGGATCAGCACCTATGGGTACTGTAGTAACAGTGCATATTAGTGGAACAGTAAGTGAGTAGACTATATGCATAGGTAGTAGGACACCCCCCCCCACCCCCAGGAGGCCCTTCAGTGAGCTAAATGATCCATGCTGAAAAATGAGACTGGTCTTCTCCCATAGCCTGCATTAACTTTGAGTGTTGAGTCCCATCTTCGCCACATATGGTAAGGCCCTCCGCTTTACACTTTGCACCCAGGTCAGCCTATGTCCCGCTTGGGTGATCCAATCCTGAGCCCAGCAGCCCGCTCGAGTAGATACCAGCGGTGGTGCGATCAGACTAGGGCATAACTATTAGAACCTGCAGGATTCTTCCAGGCATCATAACCCAGAATAGCTTGGAATATGGGCCATTCAGGGACCTCAAATCAGGCCGTGGCTGAAAGCCGTGCTTGGATATAAATGGCAAGTTTTTGCAATGGAGCCCAGTCACATCAGTGCACAGTCAAGTAGGTTTGCGTGCAGACGGGAGACGTTGCTTTCTCCAGTGCCATTTGCAAGCACCCTTTGGTCTGGGTACTGTTGTCCGTGTCGGGAGCATGGAGATGGCATCTCAGGTAAGTACTCTTCTGCTGTATGTGTCGCAGCCTGCTGCATTCTGAGTGCCAATTTTTTCCAGAAAGCATCAAAGGTGCTTTTCAGCCTTGCCAGGATATTGGGCTTTTCCTCAGTATGGTTGGGAGTGCTCATGGCGTCCGCTATTGTGCGTGACCCTGATTCTGCAAGTTGCTTGTGTTGACCCGTCGCTTGCATCCTGAGGTGGACTGGGATCACCTCCAGCAGTTCGGGGGGGTATGATGTCTGTGGATCCGCCGATGAAAGGAAGAGAAGAGCGGGCCATCTATCACCAGTTCCATCACCTGCAGGCCGTGGCTAGACACCTCAGACTCCCAATTACCAAAATACTAGTATCGGTGATTATGATCGCTAAATCGGCAGATACCATGGAAGTACAGTGAGCATGCTTCTGTTCAGCCCAGCAGGTCAGGTTCTGCCTTCTAATTTTGTGTAATAAGACTCCTTTGTTTCCTACAGCATAATGGATACAAAGCTAATTTTATAACCGAGCAGTGCCCTGGCTGCCCCAATAGTAAGGAGTCAAACTTTTTTTTTTTTTTGTGCTAGAAGTTCCTGCTTTTGTTAGCTCTCATGTCAGAAGCTCTGCACCCCCAGGCTTATCTAGGGTAGCTTCCTTTGCTCCTGTAGCTATAGTAGAGGTAGGGAGCATTACACTGCATACTGTCACGATACTTGCCTGTTCACCGTCGAACCACTTCCATTCATAGGTTGCACGGGCCGAATGCACTGTTCAGCTATGCGGCCTTCCTCACCAGACGCACCTCACCTTCCTCAGACGCTAATATACTTATTCGTTCCCCCGTCGACGTCAAACCTCTCTTTCCCTCAGTTCACACGGACTGAATGCATTGATCGGCCGCTCCGACCTCACTTCTAGAAATTCAGATGCTGCCCGGTTGAATGGCAAATCTTTATATAATGCATTTGTCTAACGTCACATCAGGTCTTGGTGTCCTCACCCAGGCGACCCCATTCTCGTACTTCTTGGAGTTCCATATATGAATGTGGGCAAATGAAGTTATGTAAGCCTATATAATGCTTATTTAGGCCCTTATTCAGTGTCCTATTGTGGTATCTACCTTGATACTGGTATAGTACGTTTAGTAAGTCTCTCTTGAATTTATGATATTGACCCTGGCTTCTTTATTGTCTTGGGGAACTTCTGGAATCCGGACCTTGCTTTTGTTTGTTCTTTTATCCGTATTTCTATCATTCTGACTGTTGCTATTTCTGACCTTTTTTTTTTTCTGTCCTGAAAATTTTAATATTATGATGGTGGGGGGAAAGAGGATTCATCTGCAAGCAATACGTACTGTTGATGATCCATTGTGCAAGTAATTTCGACAGAAAATCAGTGTAAAATATTAACATAAGTACAAAGTAAAATATTACAGATACAATCGCGCTTTCAAGAGCTATACATTGCTCTGTCTGTACTGACTGCTTTCGGGGTGGAGGTGCAAGGTGCATTGTTCCCTGGAAGAATATAAAACTGAATAAGATATGGTGAAGCATATCCATGGAAATAAAATAGAGGATGCATGTACACTCATATTTAATAGGGATTATTTTAGCCTTAGTGCAATGGCAATGAGCAGAACAAATCCCTCCCTGAGATGTGTAGATTCTGGATAGCTTCAGATGTGAAACATGCACATAAAACACAAAACCATATAGGGTACACTGTAGAGCGTAGCGTATTAAGAAAAATAAATGGCACATTCACTTCTTACAGTGTGCTGAGCACTCTAGTGCTCCGTTCCGTAGGCATAGGTGGTACCATCCCAACCAAGGATGTTAATGAGCAGGGTAGGTAGGAAAAAGTGTAATCCAAAAAAAGTATAAAACCAATGTTCACAAATTATAAAATACACCGCTAACGTTTTCACTTTAAACCAGCTAGCTTTCAAAGTGTAGTGTAGTGCATTAGTCTTCTTATACCTTTTAAAATGTTTTGATACAAGAGTATTCATTTAATTAATACAATTGACCATATATTTAAAGTGCAATTTTGGAGCAAGGTGTTAAATACAGAACAATCGTCATGGAAACAAATGGAATGCAAAACAATTCACCTTGATTCCAATGGATTGTTTCGAATGGTTTTTAGACTTTGCAACCATTTCTTTTGAACTTTTTTTTTTTTTTTAATAAATATATATATTTTTATTTGTTTGTTTTTCAGGATGAATATGATTCTTTACCAGGTGACTTGGCTAATTCGATTCCACAAACATCCATAAGTGATGTTAAACTTAATCCAGAAGATTTTGTTGTAGATGTAAGTATGCCACACATCAACAAAATGGGGTTTGGCTGCTAGTTGAAAGACTGTCCAATATTCAGAGCTTCATCCTCTAGCATACAAACCAAATGGTGCCTGTATGTTTTTGATGCATTCAACGAAAGGGTTAAACTATTCTAAGATGAGAAATAACATAATTTGCCAAACCGCTTGGATATAACATAGCTGCAAACTTAACCACAAGATACATCCTGTGTCCTGGTTTCGCAGAAGACTTTAACCCCTTAAGGACGCTGGACTGAAAATGTCCGTCCAAAATGAAAAATAACGCCTGATTGCGGCAATCGTGGGGTTAATCTTCCTGTAGTGTGTCTCCATATCAGAGGCACACTACCATGGGCAGTTTCACTTTCACAGCCCATGTGATCACTCTGACCGGGAGTCAGAGTGATCACACGTGCTTGTCTCTGGCTTTAAAAAAAAAATACGTTAGTTACAAAATCTCTGCCTGCAGTGATCAAAATACAGATCACAGTATTTCACTGTGATCTGATTTTTATTTAATTTTTTTTTAACGCCTGAGTGTTAACCTTTTTTATTTTATTTTTAATCATCAGGGGTTACATTTATTTAATTCATTTAAATATTTTAAAATATTTTATGTAGCTAGGGTGGGTAGAAGTTAGTGGGGAAATTGGGGGATTTACGGTTAGGCTAGTTAGGGGTTAAAAGTGAAAACTTTTGAAAAGTTTAAACAAAGTTTTTTAAAATAGTAAAATAAGTTGAAAGCTAAATAAAACTTGTTAAACTTTAAAAAGTTTAAAAAATGTTTTTAAAAGGGGGAAAATGCGTATTACCTCTACACTTAGTACAGGCTAGCGAAAAAATAATACCACGCTAAGGTTTCAAAAATGCCTTTTGAAACACCATGGGGTGTCTTCTTTAGGAAATGGTATGCCTTTGTGAAGTAATTGGGAAGACACAAACTATTAAAAAAAAAAAAGTGGGGCAAGTTAAGGTATAATATATGCCTAATAACATACCCTGGAGTGTCTGCTTTCTCAAATGGAAGGCCTTTGTGGGGTTATTTGAACAGTCAAATGGCTATGCCACAAAATCAGACATATGACCATCTATGAAAATTCCAACTATAGAAACTGAAATAGCATGGTCTGCTATATGCCATTTGTAGCTTCAGAGAATAGGGGCAAAGGTATACAATGGGGGTATCGTTGTACTCAGCAGATGTAGCTGAACACAATATGAGGGATAGCACACTAGGTTTATGAAATACACACAACAAAAACCTTGTTAAATGTGTATATGCCAAAATAGAGAGCACACAATTTTACTCTAATATTTAGCAGAGATTGGCGGTGAAATGGCTACACAAAAGGTGTCAAACTAACGTTAGGTAAATAGCCTGTGATGTCTACTTTATATAAATATATACTTTTGTGTGGCAATTATGTTTCCTGTAATGGGTATTAAACTTCCAAGACAAACATACCAACTTCTAAAATTGTTTCACATTGAAATTTTATTTTAGACCTTGTAGTTTGTGACCTGTAACTTTAAAAATAAACTGAAATCCTACACATATTATGAACTCTATAACTCAAGACACATAAATGAATTGATTTTGAATTACTTTTGATGAGCTGGACATATTATGCACACATTATTGCCAAAACTTGGGGGGGGGAAGCATTTTTTGGGGTTTGTTTTTTTCCACATTATTTGCATTTTTTTTTTTTTTGCCCTTTTTGTTGTCTAAAAACCAGTATATAATATGTGTTGGTACAATAAATGAGATGCAAATTGCAGTTTAACACAAACAGCAAAAATTGCTTGTGTCCTTAAGGGTATGTCCAGCTTCTGAAGCTGTGTCCTTAAGGGGTTAATATCTGTATAAACAAAACTTGGCTTACATTAAGGAGGAAACACCTTTGTCGTAATCTCTATAAATGTCATTTGATACAATAGATTTTTAAGAAATGTTATGGTTTTCAAGACCATCTGATCCGCACATCTAAGTTGCCATCTTTCTTTCTGTACAACAAAGAAAATGTGCATTTCTTCACGATGTCCGTGTCCATGGCAAACTGCTTTTTAAGTGGAATAAAATATATGATCTAATTTTGGAAGACTCTGATTCCCATTAAAGTGGTGGCAGTTCAAACCATTTGGCAATTATCTAATTCTTTTAGTATTTTAACTTCCTTAACATTCACGCTTTTCTCTGAAGTATCTATTTTTCCCTTCGCCTTGAAAATTTGTTGTTTCTTCCCAGGGATTAGATTATGCATACATTAATCATACTCGCACAGTATATTGAGTACAGAACATAAGGGTAAAGTATTTACCGGCACATCCGTACGTTATTCGAAATTTTCAACATAGACATCACTTGGTTCTATAACCCTATTTTACTATGTGTTCGAGTTATGCATTAGGTTTGGTTAGCTTAATGTGCAGATGGAATATCTCACCTTTTTAAATTATACCAATACTATCTTGCCCATGATGTTGCCAGACAACCTCTTTAAATTGTCTTCATGCTGAATTTCTTAAGATGTAGCTGATGCTGTTTTTGTAAATACAGGTGATTCACATGGATTATGGGATGAAGGAGCAAAATCCCATCAACAACGTGCGCTTTTACTGCAAATCTGACCCACTGCAAGCTATAAAGATAAGAAAAGATCAGGTTAGTGCAAGGTGCTGTGTAATGAGCGGCTATTCATAAGGGAGAAAAAGGGTGGGGGGGTTGTTATGTGCTACACCCTACTGCTTGTAATGTAAAGAAAAATTATACAGAAGTAAAAACAGAAGCAATGGACTACGAGCCATTATACCGATATGTAATCCAACCTAAACATGGCACCTAGTGTGTGATTGCACGAAACGTCCTTTTAAGCCAATAGACTAACTTTGTGCCAGTGTTATTCTGAATGTGCATGTATTTTGTGCACTGCATAAACTAGTAGAGTAGTGTTAAACCATATTGTCCAAATGTTTTTCAACAAGTCCTTTAATTCTCGGTTGAGCATAGGCTAATGTGTGGTAGTGGTATTATGGGTTTTGGAATTGTGTTGTATTAGAAAAAAATACAATCTACATGGAATTATGCTGTTTCTCGATTTTATCTAATGGCTGATAAACCGGACAATACAAAAAAATGTAGGTAGCTGAACTTTATATTTGTTTTGCTATCATTATAAATACTTTTTATTTTTTTTCTCCCATCTAATTTTTAGAATGTCTTCTTTTCTACATATTTGTAGCCTATACTAGAATAGTAAACTTTTAAATGTCTTGTAACTTTCTAAAAGGTCTCACAGCTTTTGCCAGAGAAATTTGCTGAGCAAATTATACGTGTTTACTGCAAGCTAGCTGATCAAAAGAGCCTTGAAGCTGCGAAGAGATATTTCATCCAGTGGTGCATGAACAGGGACTTCTCAAAACCTCAGGTTTGTAACTGTAATTTTGTGTAGCATTCTGTAATTGAAAAGAAGCCAGGGATCACAGGAGTACCACAACTGAGAGTACCACTATTTGTTGTTGCAGGATGGAGATGTAATTGCTCCAGACATGACTCCACTGAAAGCCAGCTGGGTCAACGATGATGATGAAGAGGATGGCCATGAACTAAAACAGAGGAGGGCAGATGCAATGAAATCTAGGACCAAACTTTTTGTAAAGTAATACTCCTCCAAGAAAATTGTTTAGAATGAGAATGTTATGGTTCTTCAGTTTGTTCCTTCAACCGTGATCTACAGAGCCTTCTGCGGGAGTACTGTGGACATTGTAACAGGATATGTGTTTTTTCTCGTTCAGTCTCCTAGATTTAAGAATTGTGACAAAACTTGCTAATGTTTCCAAAAAACAAACCAAAAACATTTTATATATATATTTTTATAATTCTTTTTTTTTTAAAAACCACATAATTTTGTGTATTTTCATACACATACTGGATTGTGGTCTCCACCCCCCATTTGGTTACTCAGTGCAGTGAGAGTTGACCTTGATGGAACATGGGAAAATATAGTTCATGCTAAATGTTTGCCAATTCTGCACTAGAGCATACTGTGAATGTATCTATTAATGGAACCTAGAGCTCCTGTATTGGTATGCAAATTGCTGGTGAAAGGCTTTGCATACTCGTATATGAGGGGCTAAAATTGGGCAGTTGAATCATGAACACTCATTTTATTTATGATTTTTAAAATCTATTTTTAATTTTTTCTATTTTTTTTTTTGTAATTGCACAATGAGGTCTCAATATTATGTATAAATTGTGACAGTTCACGAACTGTCAAATTATAGGCTGTAAGAAACATCTACACCGTTCTTTACTAAAGTGAAGTGTTGTGAATCAAAGTGGATGTCAAATTTAAGCTGTAAGTTTGGCTACATCGGCTTTACTTATCACTTTGGTATATAATCCTGCTAGATCAGCGGTTCCCAAACTGTGTTCCCAAACCCCACAGGGGTGCCGCCAAATGTTCCCAATGATGATCATCTGATTACAACAGTGGGAACCATGCCTCCCTTTCCTCTGCAGGACTGGAAGGGAGATCAGAGATCCCCCTCACCAGCCCGCTAGCACTGTATTGCTGCAGCCGGCAGTGGAGGGGAGGGAGAGAGGAAGAGAGTACCCGGGGGAGCTCTAACCTGCAGCTCCACCTGGTTCTTCTCTCTGGAGCTTGGAGCATTTCGGTTACCACTGCAACGTTATGAATCTTGCAAGAGTAAACTTTAGCCTCAGGAGCTGCTAGAGTTCACTCTCCCCACTGGGACCACCGGGGGTTCTCCTTTGGACCACCAGGGATTGCAGAAAATGTACCCCCCTCCCTGAACAAAGGTAAGAAGGTGGGGGGGGGAGGATATGAAAAGTGTTATGTTTTTTTTATATATATACATTCACACATATACTCCCCTCCTACCCCCACAATAACTCACCCTCCCTACACACACGCACTGCCCCCCATAGACCTGCACTGTAACCCTCACACGCACTGCCCCCCATAGACCTGCACTGTAACCCTCACACGCACTGCCCCCCATAGACCTGCACTGTAACCCTCACACGCACTGCCCCCCATAGACCTGCACTGTAACCCTCACACGCACTGCCCCCCATAGATGCGCACTGTAACCCTCACACGCACTGCCCCCCATAGATGCGCACTGTAACCCTCACACGCACTGTACCCTACACACGCGCACTAGCCCTCACGCACTGCCCCCTATAGACCTGCACTGTAGCCCACACGCACTGCCCCCACATAGACATGCACTGTAGCCCTCACACGCACTGTATCCCCAGGCACGTGCACTGTACCGCACGGCACTACCCCCATAGACACGCACTGTAGCACCCACACACACACTATACCCCACAAACACACTGTATCACTCAATACACAAACACTGTGCCCTGCACGTGCGCACACACTGCACCTCTAGCGTACACACATACATTGCACCGCAACACACACACACACACACACACACACACACACACACACACACACACAACTGCACCTATCCCCTTTACCGGCAGACCCCAGGTAAGTTGTCAAACTGTTCTTAAACAGTTTGACTACGTACCCTGGGAGAGCACCCTGGCACCGTAACCACTACAGAGTTCTGTAGTGCTTCTTGTGCCTGGATTGTTTCTTTAAGTAATCTACCAGTGCCCCTCCCAAGATTAGGTTCTGGATCTTCCTTTGACAGGGAAATATTTCTACAGGGGCCCAGTATATGCTGTACATGTATATAACCTAAAAATTTGTTTGACTTGGGGCGCCTTGGAAAAATATTGAAATATTAAGGGCGCCTTGAACCTAAAAAGTTTGGGAACCTCTGTGCTAGATGTTTGTTTATGCACAACAGTATTGACTAATTTCAAACGTTAAGGTTTATTATTTTTTATTTATAGGGCAAGTTAATTTGTTTTAAGTGGGTTTTCACTACTGCAAATATCAGAATTAAGTTATTTCTGGTTAATGGAAGGATTAAAAAGTCTGTTCAATCACTAGAACTGATCTTATTTATATAGTGTATAGTGGTTAGGACTGACCAAAAGTGGCCAGGGATAAGCTCACTTGGTAGCTTATACAGAACAATTCACTAGATTCAAATTAAGCTCCTGGAGGTACAACCAAAGTGTTTTCAATTATGGCACTAACAACTCACAGCTCGTTACTCCTATATCCATATTTGCACCCCATGTATAGCAGTGATTTAACATGCTTTCCTGATGTTCAATGTGGAACATCTTAAAGTGAACAGTGTTAACACAAAGAATGTATAGTTGGTTATTTTATTTAATTGAAGCTTGATTCTGCCTCCCGGAAGTATGGAGCTGTATTGGATACAAGTTCCTTTTTAGTTGCCTAAAGCTTACTTCTACCTATTCAAATATGATGGCTGCAACAGAAGTATAGATTTACCCCTGTCCCAGAGTGCAAATTACAATGCTGCACTCTGGTCATTGTGGATGATTCTTCACCATAGGGAAAAAAAATCAGAAACAAAAATGACAAGGTGTCACTGTAGATGAAGAAAAAAAAAAAAAAAAAATTATTTATATATATATATATAAAATTTTTTTTTTTTTTTTTTAATTTTTAATTTTTTTATTTTCTTCATCTACAGTGACACCTTGTCATTTTTGTTTCTGATTTAGTATTTGTAGATTCTGTGCTATATAGAGAAGGCAAGAATGGAAATCCCTTTAACTTTCAGCCTTAGTGAAGGTTAAACATTTGGCTACTCACAAATTTGTGAGTTTCAAATCTGTTGAATCTCAAAACTTGGTTAATTCAGCAGCTCATAAACGGTAGAGTTGCAGCGGAATTGAAACCAAATTTCCGGTTTGGTTCCATTTCCCACACCTAAGCAATGTTCTCCATGGGGCCCAGTCCTCTGGTAATGTCACTTCCCCTTACTGATGGGATGGGGAAGTAAAGTAGGATGGGTAAGAGGACTGGTGCCCAATTATGCAGATAATTCACATTAATTAGAACTTCCAGGCTGACTAATGATGTTGCTGAAGGTGGAGTTACATCTCCGGCAGCAGGATGCTATATTTCTCTATGTGAAACGCTGCATGTAAAGACTCCAAGCAAAATGACCACTTAATCACACTCAAGTGATAATGCTGCTTGAAGTAAGCCTATTAGCGTGCAAGTTTAATTTTGTAACTTGAGTAGGTAAAGTGGCTAATAAAAATATACTTGTTTGAATGCCTTGCTCAGATCAGCGGACATCCAGTCATATTGTTTACATGAAAGTGTTTTGTGCAATGTTTGGTTTTCTCTTATTTGGAAAGTTATGAAATAGTTTTTACCGTTAAGACTACGCATCTAGAAGCCTTGGACGTCTCTTCAAATTCCCAAGTGTTATGTGCTGTTGCACAATGGATGAACGTTTGGAGATATGTCTTGCCAAATTAGTTCAGATTCTACAATACAAATGTAGTCAAATGTTTGATACCCATATACTACTGTCAGTAACGAGAGATTGCTTGTTAATCCTTTTTAAGGCAGTAATGTGTATACCCATGTGTTTTGTTTTTAAATGTCAGTGAAAATCAAAGGAGTGTTTCTTTAATTTTCACAATTTTTTATTTTATTTTAATGGATCACCATAGGCACCCAGACCTCTTCCGCTCAATGAAGTGGTCTGGGTGCCAGGTCCCCCTAGTTTTAACTATGCAGCTGTAAACATAGCAGTTTCTGCTGTGTTGACATTGAGGGTTAATTCAGCCTCTAGTGGCTGTTTCCCTGGCAGCCAGGGAGGCCGCTTCCACGGTTCTCAGTGTGAAAATCACACTGAGATGATGCTGGACGTCAATAGGAAAGCATTGAGTAATGCTTTCCTGTAGCTGTTTGAATGCGCGGGCGACTCTTGCTGCGCCTTCAGGGCGGACATCTGCATGAGGAAGAGAGGTCACCAGTGCCGGATTAAGGAAAGTGGCTGAAGAGGTTTTAACCCCTTCAGCCCAGTGGGGGAGGGAGGGGGGCTAATAACCCTATAGTTGTTTTCCTGGCACTGTAGTGCTCCTTTAACTATTTTGTAGATATATCAACAACAAAAAGTGTACACGTACATGATTTTTCTTGGCAAGGGTAAATGTGGAAACCGCATGCAAAGAATGCAGACCTTTCTTTCCCCAGCACAGACTTTGTCTGTTCAAGTTAGCTGACCAATCAGAAGCCTCTGTGCTGCTGCGCACATGCACTCAATCCTAGCTTTACAATGCTTGTCAGTGAGCTGTAGGCAGTGCATCTGCCACTTCCGTTCGCTCTGTGGTGGGAACAGAAGTGGATGAAAACCTTCCTGGCTGTCTGAGTTGCAGATGGAGATGGGTTTCTGCCACAACCTACAAAAGTGCTAGTTTCTATTAAAATTGGTAGTTTTTATAACCTTTTGACCTTCCCACTTGCAGCGTATTTGTTCTGTTAAAAGTGAAAACACAATTTTGTCTAGTCAACAGTAGGTGAAATTATCGGATATTAAAAACTAGACTTATTCAACATGCTATACTAGAAACTTTAAATGAGCATTCTAACCAATGCAGCACACTGTAGTCAGTGTGGTGCTATGGTTACCCTGGTTCCCTCTCCAGATAAGAAGTCACTGAGAGCAGTCATTTTAACTTTCAGTAAATGAGCCAACCTTGCACAGCAGGACTTGGCTTTTAATGTTGCTAACGATAGGTCTTTGCAGGAGCTTCCAGCTACACATGTGTTTATGCCTGACAAACCCTACATAAGTTGTAAGAACATGTGCAAATGGTTTGTTTACTTAATCGGGGAGTGAGCCCGGGCCCTCCTGGCACCATAAGCACTACAGAGCACTGTAGGTTCATTGGTGCTTTGTGTTCCTTTCAAAGAGACTTTGATAAGTGACCCTAATGTGAAATTGCCCTCCCATTGAACTTACAAACACAAACTTTGTATATATGCAATGTTATATATGTCCTGCTGGTTTAGGGGGATAAAACCTTCAACTGTATAAGAGACTCTTGATTGGTGTGAATTTGCAATGGGTGTTACAATTGTTGGAATGCTAAATGTAAATATTCTCCCCCCCCCCCCAATTTTTCACTGCAAGAAAAATTGGGGTTACTTGCTTTATATTGTCTTTGTGACCTTATGGACACAACTTTCTCCTTTAACTTTAGTTGGCAGTTGCATAGTAGCCAGTCATAAATAATGTTTTAAATGTTTTCTTAATATTCAATGTTTATTTGGAAATCTCTGGCTTTTGTGCCAAGATGGATGTTGGCTGGAATTCTGAGCAAGCAGTAGTATTTAAGCAATGCGTGGACTTGCACGGTTTTTAATAGCCCGGTGAGCTGCCAAACAGGCTAAAGTGAAAGTCGTAATGATGAAGAGACAGTTATATTGCAGAAGGATGACATGGAGATCCTGAACCTTTTTTCTACTGCCCAGTTTACTCTTGTGAAATAGTCCTACTTTGAATTCACACTGTAACCTGTACAATTTATCATTGTCAAGTTACAATAATATCCAGTTGGCGTGCATCACAATGTCAGAGTATGTCTGAACTGGCTTATTCATCACTGCATTGAGTTATGTAATCATTGTTGAAGCTGTGCTTAACGAAGTAATCTAAGTACCATCAACACTACAGCGCATTTTGGTGGTTATGGGGTTATTGGGGTGCAGGCTGTGCTTCTCATTACTTTTTTTTTTTTTTTTTAATAAAACAAGTGGATAGCCGTAGCATTCATTGCCCCACTCCTCTGCAAATACACTGGTAAAGTTAAATTTTTGTATGGTCTGTTTTTTTGATGGGAATGCTGGCATAACTCGCATTCTGTTTGTTATACAAGGTCATACTTGAGCTTGCATATATGTGTAATTTTGCTGTAGAGGGGTTGGCTATGGGTTCATGGCCAATGCAATGAGCTGTAGTGTTTATGGTGCTTCAGTGCACCTTTAAAATCATGTTTGTTTTTTCCATAAAATAGATCTATACTAAATATATAACAATTAGGCAATTTTCTATCATTTGCAGTTTATATTTGTATAGAATAAACACTGTTTAAGATTGGCAAATAAATTTTGAAAGCTTTTAAATGACCTTTTTCTCTCTTTATGTTGTATGATTTAGAACTGTTTTGTAAAATACAGATAACTTTCCAATTTTTGTGATTAATCCTAAAATGGGTAATGACTGTTTTCAATTCCCCACAATTTCAAGTTCAATCAATAAGCCCATAGTGCAGTAGATGATGCCTTGCAAACATTATGGGAGATGTAGTATGGAAGTTCCGATGGCTGCCTATCCCTGGTTTAGAGCACACTGTTAAGGAAGGTGCATGTTGCCCATGAATCATGGTGTCATTTTGCTTCTCATGATGACTAACTTTTTCCGTAGAGCAGTGCTGACCTCACAGAGCACTTCTTGTTCTAGAATAGGAATGCCTGTGTTCTCAATGACACCAACATTCACTTTACTACAGTCTGCAACGTGTCCTAGTATAAAGTAGTGTAGGTTAATATTTGTTCTAACGTTTATCTTAAAGGTATTGTATGACTTTAGATTATCCGAACAATACAGCTCTTTTAATTGTCCTATCTCACATTGTTTACTCTAGATGTATATTGTATGTAGCAGGGCTGTACTTGAGTTTTTCATTTTCAGGAAGGTTAGTCTGTATATTCTATGTCCATCTGTGTATTCTTTTTATTCATATGTCTTAACTCTGATGCAATTAAAAACCTCACAGACCCATAAGTCAGATCTTAACGATCGGTGTGTCAGGAAGAGCCATATGTAAACATATGAGAGGAGTGAATAAAGGAGAGATATGGAAATGGGGTGCAAATACAACAATACATTCACTCCCACCCCACAAACACTAACCATTCACACATTCCTCTGGGGTGTGAAGATTTGTAAAATTACTGATAAAATTAAATGTTTAAGTCTTTGAAGCAATGCTGCATGTAGTTTTGCTGCGAATGTTTTCTCCTGTTCAGAAGCACTCCTGTAGCACCTTGTTGGGGGTAACATGACCATGTGGAGCAGCCTCACGCAGGACCTAATTACCTTTAAATTTAACTCTTGATTTACAAGACTGACATGTTGCTTTAATATGTGTTTCATTATTTTGCTTCTAGTTCTATGTACGATTGGATTCCAGGTAAGTTTGTTTTTCAGATCTTGCTGCAATTGGAGCTAGGGAACCTCTTCTTCCATAGTGCCCAAAAGGGCATGTTACACAGAAACGATTACCCTGCTCCAAAGGGTTAAAGTAACCCTTTACCATACAAACTCGTAAAACTGTTAAATCTTTTCGTAAGCTACATATATGCCAGCTGGCAATTTTTTTATTTATTTTTTTAATTTGTACAAAACAAGGCATTTTTCCAACAAAATGTTTTAATCGTTTTCCATCTTGTGTTGGTTAAGTGTATTTATTACTGTGGAGTACATAAAGGCATACCAAGAACTCTGAAAGATAGAACAACTTCTTCCTTTTTTTTTTTTTTTTAAATCACATTCCCTGAGGAATGCAGACATTATCTGACTTGGAGCAATTCTACAAAATATATCTGTATATATCACATTATGAACATTGGATTCATTGTGTCACTTGTAGGCGCTGATATTATTGGAATCGCCCTATATTTAGGCATATTCCCCAAGTGGGAGGGGAGAATTATTTTGTAATTTTATCTTTTGGTTTTATTGCACAAAAATAAAAAAAACTACTTTTAGTGCATCTTATGAGTTGTACTGTGATAATATTTGAGTGAGTGCGGTATCATTGCTCTATATATCGCCAGTAATATTTTGCCTTGTAACCGGCTAGATAAAAATAGCAATGTGTATAATACTGTTTACTTAATATGATGAAAATCTTAATTTTGTGCCAAAATAATATATTTGAGGTTGGCAGCTGGTCACAATAGATTACTTGCATCAAGCTGTTGTTTGAATAATGATTTGGCTCTGGTGTTTGGTTTTTTTTTTTTTAAATTTTTTATTATTCATTATTTTTGGTGTGCAAAAGGGATTACAATCAAGCCTGCAGTGCCATGATAGCAAAGGAAACCGTATCATGACTTGAATAAATTGCACTTTTTTTTGTGTGAACAGGATGGTGCTTTTCATGCCAGAAGGTAAGTATGGTTAGTAATAAAAGGTCGTGTTAAAGTGGCATGTGTGGTGGTCAAACAAAAGTAATGATAGCATGCTTCACTTTTTATCTAGCTTATGATAGGCATACTAATAACTCCATGCTAACAAGGACGTAGTAAGATGTTCAGGCCATTTGCTTGGATGTCGCATTTCAGACTAGGAGCCTCTAGGTTAGTGTGATTATCAATGTTAGGCTATAATAAGTGTAGCTTCTGGGAAAGGCCACGCATTATAAAAGGTTAAAACATCTAGGTCAAATAATTATAACAACAAGCTGTGATACCACTGGGTAGAAACTATAAGACATAATGTGAAAAACAAAGGAGCACAGATGCCCGGAGTCATCGGACACCACAGGTAGGCCAGATGGTTAAGCCAGTCTGTCAGGTAGATTTCTTCTCTCCATCTCCAGGCCATGCCTGAGATTTCCTTGTGCTTTACTTAAGCTTATAGGACTAAATCCGCAATGCCACAACTCCACTTATCTAGCCCAGGCTTTGGTGGGAGCCTTTTGTCCAGGGATCCCTCTAATCACGGAGGCAGGATCGCAGACCTGCGACAGCTTCTGTGCACAAAGAACTTTTTGGGTAGAGTTACTTTCACATGGGTCCCTGGCCCAGATAAGGGGCTGTGCGTCGAGTCGTTGGCTTGGGTTGGTAGTGCAACAAGCAATGCAGAGGTTGTGGATCGGCGTTTATGCGTTGCCAGAATACCTGGCAAAGAATCTCAAACTTAATTTCAAATCTTTCCTTCCATGTTGGTCCCTCCTGGATCTGTGAAGGCTTCAGCGCAGCGGCCATATTGGAAACGCTGCATGATAGTGTAGCAAGTAGCTATTGCAGGGACACTAGCTCGACCAGGATATCACCCACTGGTCCTAATGGGGCTGTGGGTCGTCCACTGTGAGGAGGGCTTTCAGAACCAGGAGACTGGCCGCTTTTCCTTACCTTCCGTGCACCTACCCCAGTATGCCTCAGATGCGGGTAATGGTAAATTCCGCAGCAGCTTGTGTAGAACTGGGCCAGAAGCGGGGTGTGAAGGGTGTAGATCTGTTTTCTGTAGGTTTGAGCCACGGTTGGAGAAATTTTCGCTTTGAAAAGCTTGATTTTAAACGTAGTTTAAGAAAGATCAGGCAGGAGCTAAAGCTATGTGCAACCTGCCAGTATGGAGCTCAAGTCCCGCCCCCTTGGCTCTGGTTTTAAAAGGAATAATTTCTGTTTCAGCATCAGTCATGGTATGTGGGTAATTCAAAAGTGATTTTTAAGTTGTAGCCAACGGAGATATAATGAACTGGCTACAGCAAGCTTCTATTGGCATATCTACCTTGGCTGGATGCTTCTGTGGTGCCTTTAGTGACTTTTTTTTGCTCATGTTGATGAAAACCTTGTACCCCCACATTTGGGGGTGGCATTATTTTGCTGCCCCCTGAGTGCTTGCAGGACCACAAACGGGAACGGCGTTCCTGCTCTAAAAAAAAAGTGCAGGAATGCCGTTACCAAGCGTTCCTGCAGGACTCAAGCCCTGTCTACATCTAATGAGTAGGAGTCATCCGATGAGTTGTTGCCTGATCTGCTGGATTCCAAAATGGATATTTTAGTTAAGACCTTGATGATTTAGACCCAAGAATTAAAATCCTTCATTTGCAGAGATGGTTTAGGAATCTGGAAGGTCTATAACCTTGAAAACCTTTTTGCAATCAACTATTTGCAGGAAATAAATGCATTGGTAGTAAATTGTCAGTTCATTGGTAACCATGTATAGACTGCCATCTGTGTTTTTGTCCTGCCTTGTGAGTGAATTTTAAAAACATTTACCAATCCATCAAAGCAGTCATGAAACCAGGTAAATAAGTGGAAATGTAATGATGGTCCAGACTCTCAAATAAATCCAGTGAGCAGATTTAATGGAGCAGTTCCAAAACAATATTTTGGCCCACAAGCTCTTCATCAAGCTTGACAAAGGCCCTGCTGTGGGCTAAAAACATTGCTTTGCAACTGCTCCAATAAATCTGCTCACTAGATTTAACTTAAGTGCTTGGACCATTATTACTTTTCTGCAAATCACATTGTGAGGATTGGCCATCCTCGGGCCTGGTTGCACCCTGGGATGCAGGAGAGTGCGGTATCCATTTTGGTAATTCTAATGAAACCAAGTAAAGGCATAACATTAAGGATACGCAGAGTTCTCAAATCCCTGTAGACCTAGAAGCTCATCGACCTGATTAATAGTCTCTCTCTGGGTTAGGGGTTCATATTTCCAGATGGCCATTACATGAGCAGCTGTCTTCCTTTCTATAGTGCTCTCAATAACACTACGTATAGACCTAACTACTAATGGAATCAGACAGGGCAGGAAGAGGCATAATAAATACCACTCCTCCTACCAATGCCTTAATCCCACCAAGCTGCTCATACCAACTCCCAAACCAACTATTTGGATTATACCCGTTCCAAGTCTGAGTGAGTACGTGCGTCAGTTTAACCATATTGCTGGTAATGTCAATCACTGCCTGCCCCTCATCATCTATATGCAAACAACAATTACTAAGGTTAAACTTTTCCACAGACACATCCTTCTACTGCCAGCAAATAATCAAGAGCCAGCCTATTTTGGTAAATGGCTGATCTCATGCGGGTATTTTGCTTCGCCAAAAGGTTAAGGGTCTTAGCTGTCTCATTGGTTATGATCTCAACCACCGCCTGTAATCTTATAATGCTGTTGAGCGTGTGTGTGTGTATATTATATATATATATATATATATATATATATATATATATATATATTTATTATAATTTGGTAACCATAAGTACCATCTTCAGCACAGGTAGCAGGTCCATAATAATTAATAATACGTTGGGGAGACCACTCATCATCTTCCCAGTTACCTACGTTCAATGATGCTCGCTTCTTTTTATGATTTACATCATAAACC